AGGCAGGCAGTGTGGAGCAGAGGCTTGGGCGATTGTGAGTGATAAGCCCCTGCCTCAGGCTGGCTAATACTAGAACACTTTCTGATGCGCTCCCCCTGGTAACCTGGTGACTTCTGGGCAAAATAGTCCTTTTATACAGGCAACAGAGCTCTATTTCCTCATGTCAACGGCAAAGAAGCTGAGGAGAAGCTACCCCAAGAACACACTGCATAAGTACATGCATTCTTTAGGGCTCCTTTGCCTTCTGGCCAATGTTAGAGGCATGTTGGAGGCTCCTCATACCAAAGGCAGGGACAGAGGAGAGGCGGGTACCCAACCGGAACAAGTCAGGGTCCATTGTCCGCTAATAGCAACCTATTGCGAGTTCCTGCTGTTCTGTCCTCTAAGTCCCTTTATGTGGCTAGAGATGGTCCCCAAGCTATTGGAACTGCAAATGGGAGGTGGCCTCTTGAAAAAGGAACCACCAAGGCTGGGACGGGGAAGCCCTTGGTTCTATTTGATTCTGCCTAGCTCTCTGTGTGACTGACCTTAAACAAGAGGCCTCAGTGTGTTTAGCAGGGTCTAGATCTGAGGAGCCAGGAAAGCAGAGGGACCGCTCCCCCCCCCCCCCCCATGATGTACTGCCTCGCTCATCTTAGATTTACCCGGGAGGCTTGGCAGAGGGAGCGGGTGAGCCACAGGAAGAAAACAGCAGCCTCCAGATTCCTCTATGCCCAAGCTTTGCTTTCCAGCCAAGAAATTCCCAGAGAGAGAAAAATCGTGGAAGCAAGCGTGGTGTGGTGACTCACGCCTGCAATCCAGCACTCAGAAACCTAAGGAAGACTGCTATGAGTTCAGAGCTAGCCTGGGGTACATAGTGAGTCCAGGGTGAGCCTGAGCCTTGCACTAGGAAACCCTAGTGGTGATAAGGGGACTCTGGGACATAATGGCTCAGACCTTTAGTCCCAGCACTTAGGAAGAAGAGAGGCAGGTCGATCTCTGTGATCTCAAGGCCAGCCTGGTCTACATAGTGAGTTCTATGACAGCCGGAGCTACACAGTGAGATGCTACCTTGAAAAAAAAACAATAATAATTTTAAAACAAAAGTAATAAATAAATAGATAAATAAGTAAATAAAATTAACCCAGTGCGGGAAGTTAAGACCAAAAAAAGTCAGCACAGTATTCAAGGTGGCAAAGCAAGGTAAAACTGGAAGAGGACTGACTCCCAAGCCAGTGCCCTTTCGTGGTCTACAGTGCTTTTCAGGATAATGGGCACAAGAGCCATTCTGGTATGAACTAGAGGCATTAGGACCCAAGACCAATATCAAGCAGACGATAGGAGCTTTCTTAGGACCTAATACTAGCACCCAGCAGATCCGCAGACTTTCCCAGGTGGACCCTGCTGCCCTCACCTCAGCTCTTCCTTCACAGACAGTAGGGGACTCAGGCCAGGACATCCCATCAGGTTGGACCCCTACCAGCCCCGTCCAACCCTAGACCCCATGGTTGGGCTCCATCCAGAGCTGTAGGCTCCAGCCCAGCTTCCCTCTGAGACGCTTTTCTTACCATAAAAGGGCAAGTGTGCCTTTCTCAACCCTGCTGGGGGAAAGGCTGAGTTATTTTTAGATGTAGGATTTATTCCTAACCCAAGATGGAGCTGTCCCTTTACACCACAGCCCCTTCCCCAGCTGCTGCTGTCTTGCGTCCCTTTATCCTCATTTGTGGCCGTCTCACACACACACACACACAACCACACACGCGTGCACGCACACACACATGCACATACACACACATGCCACCACACACACACACACGTGTGCGCTACACCACATGAGCATGCGCACGCGCGCACACACACACACACACACACACACAACACACATGTCTCCTCTCCTCTCCCCAAATCCTTTCACAGCCGGCTTCCCTCCTCTTGCCCTCCTTCAGATCTCCTTTCTGGTTACTGAAGAAAGTGACGCATCTGTCCCCCACCCCCTCCTGAAACAGTATTTACAACATACATTCCAAACATCCGCCATCTGGCTTCTAGGAAGGGCCAAAAGCTATTTGGAGAAGGAAGTCATGATTATTCCATCTTCAAAGCCAGGGAACTTAAGGCCTTCTTCTTCTCCCCCACTTTCCTTCCAGAGGCCCCCTGTGTCGACCAATGACATCTTTCAGTCAATAGATGAGGTCAGGACCTTAGATGGATGTCAGCTGACTTCAAGCATTCCTTTTGCATCCCTTGCTTCGCCCCTCTGCGCCCCAGTGTTCTCATCCTTCTCATCCGGACAAGGGCGTGAGACCAGGACACACCAAGATTTCAGGTCCTACTGCAGCAGCAAGGAAAGGGAGATGGGGAAGGGGTGAATCGGGAGAGTCCTGTCATCAGGAAGTCCCTTCCTCTCCCACCATGTCCTGTGCATGTGGCTCCTGGCATGCAGAGAGGGGAAGACCCATGTACATAAGCCGTGGGGGTTATATATGCAGGCGCCTGCTAATCTCCTTGCCCTCAATGGTCCAGAAGAAACCAGTGTCTGTTATCCAGAAAACAAGCCCAGTGCCCATTCCTACAAAGCCCTGCAGCCCTGGAGTCCCTGTTCTTTACAAAGCAGGGAAGACAGGCAGGATGGGAAGGGGACGGACTCTGGTAAAGTGCTCGCCATGCATGAAGATCTATCTGGATTTAGATCCCTGCACCATGTAAAAGCCAGGAGCTCTGATAGCACCTATAATCCCAGTGCTGAGGAGGCCAAGACGAAAGGATCCCTAGATCCTGCTAGATGATAAGTAGGGAGATGGCCCAGTGGTTAAGAACACCGCCCTTGCAGAGGACCTGGGTTCAAATCCCAGCATCCATATGGTGGCTCACAACCATCTGCAACTTCAGTCCCAGGGGCTCCAACACCTCCTTGTACCCTCTGAGAGCACTGTACTTACGCACAGAGAGAGACATACTTAAATATTTCTTTAAAAAAAAAAATGTTAGAGAACTATACAAGACACCTAATGTCAATCTCTGGTCTTTACACTCACTGATAATATGCCCATGCATTCCTAACCCAACATGGAGATGTCCGTTTGCACCAGAGCCCTGTCCCCTTTCCCCTCCTTTGTGACCATCAGACCACCACAGACACCCACACACGGGAACACACTAACATATACACAAACCCAAAAAAGGCAAACAGGACAGAAGCAAGGCTTTTATAATGGCAATGGGGTTTTGCTTGTTTAAAACAAATACTCAACGAACGAGAGAGATGGTACAGGAAGGACAGCTACACCCACAAGAAAACCGTTGCTCCCGGTATCTGGTGGCCTTGCCAGGGCCCAGATGACGTCTGCTCATACTAAAACAGCTTTCCCTCTTCTCAGCCTCCTTCCCTCCAAGACAAGGACGGTCTGAGCTCCAGGGGAGCGAGTGCGTGCTGGGTTGCAGGGCCCCACTGAGACTCCTAGACTAATGAGCTTTACGACTGTGACCTTGAGGGGGTGCTGTGATCCTTGAGATCCTTGGTCTCTTCATTGGTAAAATTCCATCAGAAGGCCTCTACTGAGAACGGGGCAAACATTCTTAGCAAGGGGGAGGCGCATCAAGAGCTCCCAGCTCTTCTCCCCCATCTTGCTTGGAGACACCAAGGGAAGCTGGGCCGAAATCCACTTTTTTTTGCCCTTGTTGGAAATTAGGGATCGAGGTGTTTAGGCCTTCTTCTCACCCCCCAGCATCTGAGCTGCTTCTGGAGGCAAAGTTTGGGGTTCCAGAGGAGCCAGGAGAGCCCTTCTCTTCCCTCGTCTCTCTTCCCTGCATTGCTGGTTTTCACCTCATGCTGCATTCCCAGGGCTTGCTCAAGAGTCCCAGAACACCATTCCCTGGGGAGGAAGTAGGGAGCGTGTGAGGTTGGTGAACTTTACAGGGTGACAAGGGGCTGAGGGCATCTGGGAACAGAAGCCAAGGAAAGCTGTACAGAAAGGAACATGAGGAGGGGCCAGGCAGGGGTGGCTCCTGCTGTCGGCATCCACACCTCCAGATGTCACCCTCCCAGCTCACCCCTGCACTTACGGTGCTAACAGTAGAAACCTCCGCCATTTAGTCTTGGCTTGCCATGTGCCTAGAACTGTGCTTGCTACCCGCTGCCCCTCACTGTCTAAAGCAAGGGTGAACACAAGGACCCTCAGATACAGCTGGAAAGGGGTAGGGATGAGATTCAAAAGGTGGGCCCACCTCTCCCGTATTCTGTCCAAGCTTAAAGTGGTAACTGGGCCCTGGAATCAAGAGCTGTGGAATCCGTGTGTGGGAGGGAGCTACAAAGGGAAGCTAAGGTAGACGTCTCTCCCAAGAGAACAGCTGTGTCTTGTCCCCTGGAAAAAGGCACGGGCTTTGGCAACGACCACATGAACTTTGCTTTATGGTCATCCGAGCTCAGGGGATAGCCAGCTGAGCCTGGCTCCTGGTCTGCCTTGAACCCTGGTCAGTCAAGATTGCCTTGAGCAAGCTGCAAGGCCTTGTTCAGTCCCCTCCCACCTCAGCAGTTGCTGTACTGGTCCAAGGCTATTCTACAAGGCCGAGAACCTTGTGTTACTGGAAGAAGGTACAGTCTCCGTCACCGAGTTACCCCAGGTTGTGGCCTTCTCCAGCACAGCCCACTTGTGATATGAGAGATGGGAGGGACCACTAGCCATCAGTGTCTCTGGGCAATGCCCTTGGAGAGCAGAACTTTTGCTGACTGGTCCAGCTGCATTAGGAGGGAAGGTGATCTCTCTTTCTCAAAGGACTTAAGAGTTTCCCTTTGAAAGCAAGGTGGGCGCAGCAGGGATCCTGGCCATGTAGGGCCCGAAGGACAATTCCATGAGGCTTGACAAACCTCAGCAAGTCAGCCCAAGACTGGGCTTAGAGTGGCCCAGGCCCTCTCTCTGTGTCTTTTGAAAAGCAATATCAGGCGCAGACTCTTGGGGTTCAGCACTCTGGTCACAGAGTGGCCCAGAATACTTCTGAAGAGCCAGACCTTTTGTTCTTTTCAGGTGAGAGTGATGGCTAGTCAAATCCCCCACTACGCTGGAGAATGAGGAGCCCCAGAGAGAAATCCTCCCGAGAACCAGAAAAATGGACAGCGGTGGCCTCCTGCTCCCAGATCTGTAAGTGTTCCGTTCCATGTTCCCCATATACACCCCAACTCAGGGAACTCCAGGAATAGCCTGCAACCCTCAGACAAGCTCCCCATCCCCATGCTCCGGAAACTCAGAGAGAATGCTGGGAATCTCAACGAGTAGAGCCCAGCCATGGGGTAGCCTTTCAGCAGTGTTGGAGGCTGGAATGGAGGTGAATTAATGGAAGCAAAGACGAGGGACCCCCAACAGTGTGAGACCCCTTCCCATCCCACTCCGTTCTCTTCCAACTGCAACAGGAAGTCAGCTTGGCTTGAAGAAGACACACACCCAATATTAATCTTCCTTAGAGATGGAAGGGCTTGGTAGGAGGGGTACCTGGGATCCTAGGGCTCTGGGCGAGGACTATGCTATTGATAACAGCAGCTCCCAGGGATGGAGGTGATTCTTTAGCCCAGTCTGAGTATGCGGAGTTCTGTACCGCAAGGTCAGGCCATGAATAGAGGAGTCTGGTGCGGATCTATCAGGGCTGGAATAAACAGGAAGAACTGGAGATGAAAGAAGGGAAAGAGGGGAGGCAGGGCAGCAGAAAGGGACTATTCCATGGATAGGAGACAAGGCTTGTGTAACACAGCCCACCTGTTCACCCTGTGTAGCCTCCACATGTGTGCGAACGTGCACCCCAACACAGCACATACCCGCTCTTCACTTGTGAGCAAACGAGCTGCAGAGACTGTTGTAAACAAATTGGATTAGGAGGCTGCAGACGCCTCCTTCCGCCAGCGACCCTCCAGGGCCGGACATTAACCAGGCCCCGTAGAATGGCCAGCTGCACTCTCTCTGGCAAGGGGACAGTCAGCCCTGAACCCCCATCCCTCCCCCACCCAGCCCCAGGAAGGAGCCTTCAGAGAAGATGCCAGGATGATGGATGGGGTGAGGGAGGTTCCAGGGCCCGCCTGAGAGCACACAGGATGTCGTGCTCGTGTGAGGCACATTTCTGAGCCGTTCCCAGCAGCCCACTCCTCCACCCCCTTGGGCTCCCCTCTGCAGCCTCTCCCACGGTCACTGCTGCTGGTCTGGGACTTGGGCCCAGCCTGAGGTTCCAAGCAGAGTTCAGGGCCTGGGTCCTGAACACATCTGTCCCCTCAGTCCCACAGTTGGACTGAGGGGAAACAGCTGAGAAAGCATGAGCACAGGGAGACGCTGGAGGCCTCTTTAGAGGGCAGAGGGACCTGTGAGCAGAGGAGCAAAGCCGGCTCCGTGCTTTCCTTCTTTCTTTCTTTTTTGTTTTTGTTTTTGTTTTTTGAGACAGGGTTTCTCTGTGTCACAGCCCTAGCTGTCCTGGAACTAGCTCTTGTAGACCAGGCTGGCCTCGAACTCACAGAGTTCCGCCTGCCTCTGCCTCCTGAGTGCTGGGATAACAGGCATGCGCCACCACTGCCTGGCTTCCTTGCTTTCTTACTCATCACTTCAACTGATCCTCAGAACAGGCTGCAGAGCTGGAATTGTGACCAGGGCACAGCTGGTCATTCATTCAGTGCTTCCACAGGTCCCTCCTCGGAGGCCCTAATCTGTACCAGGTCCTGTGTCATATGCTGAGGACAGCCAGTAAACAGCACATTGCCCCTGTCTGACGGACCTGGCCTCCTTAGGCTGTGTTGGGGAGCATTATAGCAGTCCTTGTTTCCCAGGGGCACACCTCCAGCACAATCAACTTCCTGCGTAGCACGTGTAATGGCTAAATTTGTCCCTTTATGCTGCGTCAATGCAATCAGCCCTCTCAGGAGCCCGATGTCAGATTCCAGGCCCTGATACCAGACAGACCTGAGTTAAATCCTACCTCATTTCCCGTTCAGTTGTGTCACTGTTCTTAGCCTCTCTGGGCCTGTTTTCCCTTCTGCAAAATGGGGGAGCAATGGCTCTCATCCCTTGGGGCTGATCGAGTTCTCCTCCTCCATGCCGTCATTTTATACGGAGACAACAGAGGTCCCGAGAAGGAGAGGTCTCTGTGAGATGGGAGTTAAGTTTGGCCCAGGCTGTTCCCTTCAACCCAGTATCAGCCCTCCCACCTGCTACTCCAATCAGAGGCCAAGATGGCTGCTCAGTTCGCATAGGTGATTCTCGGGATGTGTGCTGGGCCTTGCCTGCCTTCTTAGCAGCAGCCCAGGTGACCAGTGGTGGCTCTGAGTCCTCTTGAGTGGTGAGTGGGGTGAGGAATGACAGGCAGGGTTCCTAGCTCCAAGCAGCCTTGCCATATAAGGGCAGGAGCCACAGAGTGTCCGTCCTGCCTGGGCCTGAGACTATCCAGACAAGCACTGTTTATTTTCTCCTTCAGCCTCCCCTCCTCTCAACCCTCCCTGGAGCTTCCCAACAGACAGAAGCCAGAGATTCCCCTAGCCCGGAGACATTTTCTGAAGACGTAGGAAAAGGAGAAAAAGTGGGACACCCCCTGCAGCAGGCCTCCGAGATGCAGAGAGCCAACACCAAGCGCAAGGTAAGATCCCGAGTCCGCCTGCTTCAACCACCCCTTTAACAGAATGGGGAACCAAGTCTCAGAGCGCCAGAGATAAGGGGGGGCTCAATGGGAAATAACTGTGCTGGCTGGAGACAGAGCCTAGATCCCCAAGCTCTCCCGTATTCTGATAGCACCACAGGGCGAAGGAGCCTTTCCTGGCTACATCCCTCTTCTCAGTGAAGCCCCACTTGCGGGAGGCAGGGGTCCAGATGAGCTCTGCCTACCAGCCCAGCACATGTACACGTATGTTTCCGGGGTCAAAGAGCCAGAAGGTTCACCTTCCTGTCCCACTGCTCCTCCCAGCCATCCCAGTCCCCACCCCAACCCTTCTAGGAGGCCTTCTGAGCTACCCAGGGGGTGGAGGAAGGGACCTCCCTGGCCACAAGCTCTTGGCAGTCCTCTTACAGGCTCTCGGGAGTTCTGCTGAGTCTGCCCCTATGCCCTACCCAGGTGCTTTCCTCCCGCTGAGCCTTCGGTGCCCTAGGGCACCGACAGTATTGAGGCCAAGTGCATGGGCATAATTCTTGGGCACACTAAAGCAGTGCTGCCTGGGTCTGCTGAATGAGCGAGTACAACTATGAGACCCTGTCCTAAACCCAGAGGACTAAGAAACTGACACCTTCAGCATGGAGGTTAAGGTGAGGGGCCAGGCTTGGCTGCTCTGAACTAAGAAGCCCAGAATGTTGACTTGTACTCTTACCCTGGGGGAAAATTGTATTTCTCTGGAACCTTGGAGACCTATGGGGATATGTGTAGTTAAACGTTCACCAGCTTGGTTATTCTAGAATCACAGGGCCAGAACTAGACAGTCTTTATCCAAGGATGGGACAAGGAAGATGAGGCAAAGACCCTTCCTGGCTGAACACCTGCATCTCAGTACCATCCGGCCATTTACTTCTCCTTAAGAAAGACGGACCGCCTTCCGTCCAGATCCTGTAGCCCAGCCCGAATATACAGAGCTTTTGCTATGCTCTCCTTTATCCCAAGGTGGGATGTCAGTGGCTCTCAGTTCCCTTTTCTGAACATGTATCTACAAGTCTAAAATGCCTGCCCCCTGCCTCCACTCCTGGTCCTCTAGCCAAGGTGATCTCTTCCAGCCCCAACTGTCCAGAAGGTGGAACTGACTCTGCATCCTGCCCCAGACCTAACCAACAGATGTCCTGTTTGTCACTTTTGCCTGCAGTTGCATTTGAGGGTGTAAGGTGAATCTTTTCACATACCGCAGTAGGAATACTTGTTATAGATGGGGAATTGACACTAACTGCAGCTGAAAACCACAATGTCACCTCTTCTGTGGCTTGCCAGGCCCCAAGCCAGGCTTTCTTCCCCACGCTTAGGAACCCAGGCTGCCAGGCATTGTGACACAGGCCTGTAATCTCAGCATTCCCGAAGTGGAGGCAGGAGGATCAGGAGTTCTACACACTGAACGAGTTTGAGCTAGCCTGATCTACATAGGTCTCTGTTTCTGGAAAGAAAAAAGGAAAAGAAAGAAACAAAAGAAAGGAGGATAAGGAGGAGAGGAAGGCAGACAGGGTGGCAGGGGACAACCAAATGGTGTGTCACCAAATGACTCCCACGATCACCCACTCCCCATCTGCTGCTCTCAGAAAGCAAAGGAAGTATAGGCCAAAGGGCTTTGGGCACAGTTGTACCCTGGGAAGATAGGGACTCAGTGTGGCCCAGCAGAGCTGTGTCCAGCCACCTCCCTGACCCCACCAGCTACCTACTGGATAGTCCCTTGGTCAGGTTCAGTGATGCCTCTCCCAGGGTCTGTGGGAGCTGTGGGGAACAGAGTAGAGAGAACACGGTGTTCTGACTCCCAAGATAGTCTTGTGTTCAAATCTCCTGGTAAGAGGGCCGTGGAAAGTTTCTGACAATTCCAGACAGAAAGAAGTTGGATTGGCTGGGGACGCCTGAGGACAAAGGTATCCTGGCCTTAACAGCAAATCGGAGAACATTTTTCCCACTGCTCCTGCACCCCACCTCCAACTTGGGGTTGCTGCTAGATCCCTGTTAGAGGCCTAGGAGCTATGGGGTTTCTAAAAGGGAGGCAAACTTTCTTTTCTGTTCTTTCCCAGCCCTGAGGAAAAGCTACCTACAGACAACCCTGAAGGTGTGTGTCTTCCAGCATCAAGGCCACCACAGTCACCATGAAGCAAAGGTCTTCCGGGGACCCTGGGATCTTATCAAGAGCAGGGTGAGTGGGTGGTTTGGGGTTGGGGTGCCCTGCTCACCTGGAAGTTCCCACACAAGCCACTCCCATAGAAGAAAATGAATTCTCCACATGGCCACTCAGTCAGCCACCACCACATGTCTGATATGTCTGTTGTCGCGTGCAAGTCTTCAGCAGTTTCTAGGGACCCCACATTATAACATAGGAGCCCTGGCCTCAGGGAACTGCAGAGGTAAGTGGGGATGGCCCAGAGAGAGGATGAGGTGGCTTGCAACTCAAGCAGCGTTCAACATGGCCCTGATTTGGGAGCTGAGGAAATCCAGCCAGCTCCCTTTCCTCGTGTCGGAATTCTACCTCAAGAGTTGGGTAGAAACAGAGTTCACAGGGTGGACAAGAACATGAAGGAGGTGTCCCGGGGTCTAAAGGAGTGAGGATGGTTTCTCACAAGTGATCCTTTGCCCAGAATGCATACAGAGATGGGCGGGGAACAAGAGCAGGAAACCAGGAGGTAAGCAAACACAGAGGAGTGTGCAAGGGCACGGGGTTCCATTCCCAGCACTGCAGAGAAAAAAATCTAATTGCACACTTTAAATGGATTGGCTCGACCTCAAGAAAGCTAACTTAAAAAGAAAAGGAAAAGAAATTGGAATTTTCAGTCGCAGAGGGCTCCGGCGCAAGGGAAGAGCAGGGTGGGAGGCAGACCACGATGCAGGCTCACACTCCTCCTCCTGCCCAGGAAGAAGGCCACAGCCAGAGAACGGAATGGGGCAGCCTGAGCTCGTGCGGAGCGCCTGTCTCCCAGCCTGAGGTGCAGTGCTGCATCTCTGGTCAGTTGGGAGTCTGAGATGAAGCACTGTAGCTCAGGAAGGGAGAAGTTGTTCTGCAGCCGTCTCCGGGACTTGGTAAGTGTTGACAGGCGGGTCCAACAGGTTGTCCCTAGACTCTGCCCCAGCAGTCCATGGTGATGTTCCTGAGGTAAAGCCGCACCAGTACCGACTGCTCCCGTGCATCTGTAACAGTAGGTGCTGGCCCATTCGGTGGGGACCGGTACCGACACCCTGCCTCCACACTTTCTCTTCCTGAGCCCACAGAAGACACTGCTAACAAATCAAGGCATCTATCCGTTCTGGGAGGGTTCCAACACACCCTTAGAATCCTTCTCAACACTGCAGACACAGTTACCCACCCTAAGTGATCCTAGGCTGAACCCCATTCATCTCTCTAGGTCATCAGACAACCCCTAACCACTCTTCCATCCTGGATGTAGCGGCCAAGGGCCCTGGCTGACGCTGTCATGTTGCAATGTCAAAATGTTGTGCATCCCTGCTGGGCGTGAAGTCACAGTCTTCACAGTTCGGGCCTCTAACCCTGGCTCCATGCTATTGCCTAAACCAGCCCAGGCATTTCACAAATGTGGACCCTGTCCCAGAGGCTTCCGAGAAGCACGGGGCAGCAAAGACGATACAAATTGGATACACCCATTGGCATTTAACTCCTGCACCTGGTCAGAGGAAGGCGACCCACCTCACAGAGGAGAAAACTAAGTCTTAGTTAAGTAACTGGCCCTAGGTCCCATACGGATATATGAGCTGGGTCTACCTTCTTATCCACTGCGAGACTATGGGACCTGGAGCAGGAGAGTAGGAAAACAGAACAACCCGACTCTGGTCTTGTTTACTCCCTGCTATAGTAACAAAGGCAGAACCACACACAGGTCTAAGAGTCCCATGGCCTCGCTTTCTTCACCCTGGCCCCTCACCCAGTAGGTCCTATCTGATGTCCCTTTACAACCAAGGCTCAGAGTTTAAGGGACCTGCTGGAGGTCAACTGGGAGAAAGTTGCCATAGCCTGGGAACTGACTTCACCCAAACTGGTTTAAATTCCCCCTCTTGACCTATGGCAGTGGGGGGAAGGGACTGGTCCCAGACGCTCTCTGGTTCTCTGATCGATTCTCATGAACATCAGCAGGCTTCCTTGACCCCAAGGGAGGTACTTTCCAAGCCTCTTCAAACTCTAGTGGCCCTTCCCAGGGCAGGAAGCTGCACCCTGAGAGTCGCTTCACCCTGGGAGTCACAGCACCCCACGCTGGCTGCCAGAGCAAGGGCTGGGCGCAGAGAAAACTGGTGGTCCCTAGGGGTGTGGCGGGTGCTGAAGGCCTCTCTCCCACCTTGTCCTCACGGTCCAGTTTTCCCAGGAATCCCTTGGATGCTAAGATGGGGATTCCTGGAAATACTGTTCTTGAGGTCATGGCTTAGCTGCTGGAGCTGCCTCCTTCCCACCCTGGCATTTCCTCTCTGGGATGAGGGAGGAGGAGAAGGCAGTACACTGGAGGTAAGCGGCCTCCGGATAGCCCTTCTGACCTTTGCATTGCTTTCCTTTTCGCTGTGCCCGGATTTCATAACACCCCTGGGAGGCTGGATGTGGGAACCTCAGAACTGCCTCGCTCTTGAGAAACTTGTCCAGCCGTTGGAGTAGGACTCTGAGGCCGCGGTCCCTCCACTCTGACCCTCCAGGCCTTATGATAAGGAGGGACCGCAGGCCCATATCCACATTATTAAGAAAGTCATACACAAGTTTACCTAAATCAGTTAGGTAAACGAAAAACCATTCATCTCTGATGGATTTGGAGTGCAACAGCCACATTTGGGATAGCAAATACAAGATTTTGAGCGCCCCCTGGTGGTATTTTTGCTCATTTCAAGAACACTGTGATTTCCCCATACACTGCGCAGGAATCTCTCTGCTGCCTACCTTCCAGTTTCTATACACTCCTGCCAAAATTCTTTCT